ATCGTGGCTTTCGTTCCGGCCAGCCAATGATTTCGTAGCAGTTCTCTTTGGAGTGGCCAGGATGTTGACAATGACTGCAACGGACCCGCTCTTTTCGGTCACTGCTGCGAGCTCTCTCCTCGCATTTAGTTGAGTTTGAGGTAGGTCGCTCTTGCTGAGCCTGAAAAGCAGCGGCATCAATAGCAGGCCGCCGATTGGCGGCAATTTGTTTATGTTGTTCTTCCGTGGAAACCAAACGATAGGCTTCTCCAAGGGTTGGGGTTGGTTTCATAGACAGAATCTGCGTTTTAACAGTCCCAAACGCGTCCCCAAGACCCATTAGAAAATCAAACAACCTATCGTTTTCCAGATTACTCATTACCTTCTTGTCTATCTCACACGTGCACCCGCCGCAAGTACATCGTGGAATAGGTGTAATGGTTTGCATCTCCTCCCAAATAGCTCTCAACTTTGTGAAGAAGGTGGAGACCGTAAGTTTTTCTTGCCTCAAGGTGCTCATCATTTGTCTAAGCTCATAAGCCCTAGGCGCCGACCCACGCCCAAATCGCGCTTCAAGGTCAACCCACATCTCGCGTGCAGTCTTTGCATAGCGAATCGAACTGCGTACCTCCGTCCATGGCCGTTTTTAACCATCCTTTGACAAGGGCATCACACTGAAGCCATGCTGCTTGCAACTCGCCAGCAACATCCGGCTTCACCAGGGTTCCATCAACGATGCCGAGCTTGTTCTTTGCAATTAAAGCCTCGGTCATGTCTGTGACCCATTCTCCATAATTGGAGTCACTCAATAGCTCACCAACAAATAGTTAACATGGATTGTCTGACGCTTGGATCCTCAACGCAGCAGGGATGACTAGAGGTGGGACAGCACCTCCTCCGTCGCCATTGGGGTTGATCAGATCCTTACTGCCGCCGTCAATCTCTGAACCACTCATTGTGAAGACTTAGGTTTTAGAAAACCCGCTCTGATACCATGAAATAATCGTAGGAAACAATATACAATCACACAACGCAAGGATTTACGTTGTTCTTCTCATTCGGTGCGAATGAGCTTACTCCACGGAGAAACTATGCTATCTCAGCTTTTGTTATTCTTAGCTTGCAGCCGATCACTTTACAACATATATATATACAAACCCTAATCAACTAATCTCTCCTAGGGTTGTACACGAGCTGCGGCCAAGAGGAAAAGACAAAACTAACCCTTTGGCTTAATACAACTGCAAACTAGAATTAACTATCGTTACACCACCAAGTCCCAAATGGCGGTTGAGAGAGCGGCAAAGGCGGGGATGGCGGGTCGGCGGCGCGCGTGGAGGCCGCGGCGCTTGGCGTCGGCAGCGAGATCGGGGCGAGCGCGGCGCCAACGGCGACAGGTGCGAACGGCGGCGCCGGGGCGGCCGTGGGGTCGGCGGGGATCAGCACGGGAGGCGGAGGCGCGGGTAGCGGGGCAGAGTCAGCGGAGGCGCCGGTGGTGGCGTTGGAGGCGGCGCCGGTGATGAGTGGCGCGGGGGACCAGGCGGCGGCTCGGGAGCGTGCGGGTCACGGCACGCTAGGTCAGGGTGGCGGGCCTGGGCTTTTGCCTACACCGTCGGCCCAAGAGCTGGCGGCCCGGAAAGGAAAGGGCAAAATGCCCGGTTATGACACGGAAGGGCCACCGGAGACTGTTGGGCCTGCGATGATGGACCAGATCGCAAGAAGCACCAATGGGCTTGGATGGATGGACCTGGAGGACGAGCCCCAGGAGGGCGAGTTCAGTCTGATGGGTCGTTCAGCGTAGTGGGCCGACCCCGGGGTGAACCAGAGGGGTGGCGGACCAAGCCGGGTCATTGAACCGGTCGGGCGGGCCGGCCCTGGATGGACCATGACTTGGCGGACCGGGTCGAGGCGGATCGGAGCAGGGTGGGCCAGCAGTGGTCAGCCCGAGGTGGGTCGGGTCGAGATGGGTCGGACAGGACATCGACCGAACCCAACCAGCCGGCCGTCTAGGGGAGCGGACAACAGAGGATCGGCATGTTGGAGAGCTCCCTATGGGGTGCACGACGTTCCTGGGGGATACCCGGACCAGCACGGAGGCTACCAGGAGTACTACGGCTCCGGAAATCCGAGCAGGGGGCACGGGTTCTCACAGGGGCAGCCATGGAGGGCACCGGGGAATGACAGGTACGGGTCGTGCTATCCTAATTATGAGGGTACTGATGGGATAGTTTTTCGAGCTAAGCCTCCTACCATTGAGTTTCCGAAATTTAATGGGCAAGAGGATGCAGGCCTCTGGTTATATGCAACTGAGAGGTGGTTTTAGAACCACCCAATTCATGAGGAACGGAAGGCCTACCTGGCGTCCTTCTATCTAGAAGGTGACGCGCTTCAGTGGTGGGAGTGGATGGATAGATCGTATGCGGCTGCCGCGACTTTGATCACCTGGCCCATGTTCCAGGAGGAGCTCCGTTACCAATTCGGGAAATCAGAAGGATGGTCTCTGGAGCAGCTCGCGAAGCTGAAACAGACTGGCACGGTGGCTGACTACCGCGCAGAGTTCTTCAAGTTGGGTAACCAGTGCAAGGGAGTTCCGGAGGACACACTAGTGGGGCTATGCATGGCGGGTCTCAAACCCGAGATAGCAGCGGCAGCTCGAGTGTTCGAGTCGGGTCCTTTGAAGGCTGTTTTTCGTCTTGCAGGTCACAAGGAAGAAGAACTTGCCAGCTAGAGGAGTACCATTGGCGTTACACGAGGCCAAGTGGAGGGGGCGGCAGTAGTGGGATTGGGGGCAGCGGAGGAGGAGCAGCGGCGGGAAGCGCATTATGGGCGAGCACCGAGAGCAGGAACACTGCACCAGTGACCAGGGGAGGGCCCCGAACCATACCAAAAGGGTTCGTGCGGCTCTCTCCAGCCGAGATTGAGCAGAAGAGACGGGAGGTCAAGTGCTTCAATTGTGATGGTCGATTCACCATTGGTCATCAATGCCCGAAACCATATTTGATGATGCTAGTGGGACGCTGGGAAGACGAAGCAGAGGACTAGGCCGAGGACGTCGGAATTGGCGAGAAGGAGACCCAGTGAGTTAGAAACGCAACCTTGGGGACAAGATTGTTTTCCGAAGTAAGCGGGGATGATAGAAACTAGTATTTAGTTATTTTGATTAATTATCGAATTATTGTTATTTCGAATTATTGGGACTATTTCGGGAATTGGGAAATAAATTATATGTCGCGTAGCAATAGGGAATTATTCAATTATTATATAAATTGCTTGTCAGTGGGATTAGGCCACTAAGCAAGATTAAACCTAAACCTAGTTACTCAGTTTTCCTCTCTCTCTCTTCCTCTGACCGCCGAGCCTCTCCTCCCTTTCCCCTTGGCTGCCGCGGCAGCACCTCCCCTCCCCTCTCTTCTCTTGATCAACCCCAAATCCACTCCTCTTTCCATTTCCCAAATCTTCGGATCAATCCCTAGTTGATCTTAATCCCTAATCAACCGATAGAGCTCGGACTCGAGTTCTATCATATTTATGTGTTTTAATGACTCCATTTCTTATTCATATTTCATAATAATGATAATAATAAAACCTTACCAAGCACTCAAATTTGGTCAGGTCGATTATGTTTTGTAATGAAAATGTGAAATGGAGACTTGATAACTAGTTTAGAACCAATTCATCTAAATAATTTGAACAGTTGGGAGGGTTTCAGGAAAAGATCCTATATCATTTACTTGCATATGTATCTATCTATAAAGATCGGTTGAACGACTAAATTTAATGATGGAATGCTCTTTGTTTTTCTGCCGATGACAATAGTAATGGCAATTTCTGACCTGATCCATGCAACTCGACCTACCCCGACCTGTTTGGGGCGGGTAGCGTGAGACAGGGCATGGGTATTGCTCCCGACCTGTCTCATCCCGTTCTTGACCCGTTCTGTCATGATTTGCATCAACATCAATATGTATTTATCCTCTTTTGACTTTTCGTAAATCATATTTTCATGCTAAAGAAATTTTAACACTATATCTTTCTATTATTAAGACTCAGTTATTCCTTCTACTATATTTCTCGTTCATTTATAAAGTGTTTTCTCCATGTGTTATTGTATAAAAGTTAAATATCGATATTGTTTTTTCAAGCAATATATAAGGATGGGTCGACCCACCCCACTCGGAACCCGTGTAGATATTACCCCGCCCCGCCCCTTTGCCATCACTAGATGATGGGAAGTGACACATTTTTTGTGTCATAAAATGTAGACACCTTCTATCTTATGAACAAGTACACTGCACTCCTATCACATTCCTTACATTCCAAATCTCATGCAATGTTGACAATCCATGAAATGGCACATTCACCATCCAAACAAGCCCTTAACTTTTACCAGCATTCTTGCAAACAGATTGTCAAGATTCATTTACAGGATGTCCACCATATAGCTGGGAAAGGAGAGTGTTTTTTCTTCCCTTGTAATAAAGTTGGAAGGGACAGAAGCCAAAATTGTTCTATTTCACTTGCATAAACTTAGCTAAGCACTCTCATCTCAAGTCGAAAGGCAGCAATGAAAAGGAGAGGGAGAGATGGCCAAAGAGGAATATGCTTCAAAGTAAACTGGTAAGTACCTAAAAGTTAGATCACATATGTCTGATTTTGGTGTCCTCAACTCAACTCACCAACGTTGTTTGAACCCTCTAGCTAGCACCAAATAGACTGAGGCAAAACCCATGAAAAAAGAGCATAGGAACTTGTCCATTTGCCCAAATTGCATATACATCCATTCCGGTTACTGTAGCTGCTGCTCTTGGTGTCTTCCACCTTCTACCAAAACTGTTGTGCCTAATGTTGTACTTTCCTAAGAGGAAGTGGTTTGGCTTTAGCTGCAGCTGATGCAATCCATGTTCCATTAGGGATCATGTTTGGATGGTGGATTTCTTAAACGAGGTAACTTGACTCAAATGCTTTACAGAAACGTAATATTTCACTGTACTTGTCGCTCTCCTCTTAATTCAAATTGATGTAAACCAAGACAATTCAAATTGTGGTTCACGAGAGATTCGTGCGTTTTGCTCCATCCACTTCAAAATAGATACATTGATAAATGACAAGACAAGTTTGTTAACAATCTAGATCCATACGAGGCAAAGGCTGTTAGTACTACCTTACATACACATAAGAGACAACACATGAGTTTGAAAGGGTTAGTGAAACCCTTTCAAACATAACCTGGTCTGCATCTAAAAGCTCTACGTCCCTACATTAAGAAAAATGGTGTAAGAAATTACAAGTACAGCTAACACGGATTATCAGGGCTACTAACATCCAGCTGCTTTGAGGAAGTTATCGAAAGGACTTGCAGGTGGCAGCTTAATTGGCAGATACTGCTCCGTTAGAGTCTTCTGCTTCAGCTCTCCTCCATCAACCTCACTCTTACACGACATCTGCACGAAAGGAATGAAAAATAGGTTTATGCCAGACAGACATACATGATATATGATTAGAGAGAAGGGTTTCTGTTTCTCCTCTTTAACCTGCCATGGTACTGCAGCCCCGCTCGCTGCAATGGATGGTAAGAGGTACTTGTCGGCGGCTGGCTTAGTAGCTTGCTGATTCTCGTGGGCCAACCAAGTCGAGAGCTTCTTTCTTGTAACTGTCCCGAGAGTTTCGCATTGTCTGGCCATCAAGTCGTAGGAGAGGGGTGACGTGGAGACAGATGTTCCAGCTACTTGTCCAGCTACCTCGAGAGCCTGGAAAAAGCATGTGACCATCAGCAGCACATTTATTCGAAACCCGATCACCAAAAGTAATGAACGAAAATACAAAAACTAGTCTTATACTGATTCTAATAGCTTCCCGATGCTGATAATGTGCGAGACAGAAGGTGACGAAGGGATTTTGGGGATGAACCGAGACAGGTCTGAGACTGATGCTTCACTCGTGGCATCATCCTCGATCAAATTGCTCTGAATTTCCTGCCACATGCTAGTATTATCAGTGCTAGACACTCAAACCCTCTCAAAATTGTAGTTAATGATCACCCAAAAGAGAAAATTACCTCGTCGAAGGAGAGTGATTCCTTGGAATGAGAAGCCACGCGGTGGTGGTCAAGTACTGATCGTGGACCAAACATTAACATGTCATCAGGAGCAAATGGTTCCGACAATTGCCTGGCGACTTCATCAGGCTCCATCTTAAGCACAAACACACATATATTAGCAAAGTGAGAGAGGGCAATGAACTGGTAAATAAACCAGCTTCATTCTGTACCTCAGTAGTGATAGATAGGTTCAGAACTAAGATGTTCATCATAGCGATCTTAGATTCAGATATTCTGCTCTGCAGCTCATCTAGCACTGATATAGCCAATGAACTATCTTCAAAGGACCCAAATTCTTTCAAGTCTGCCTGGGGCTTCACATATATCTGAAAGTCGTTGCTAATTCCCATATAAGGATCAACCTGAATTCATCCAGCATATAAACTACAGTTAACCTTGTGCTACCGCAGATATATGTTAACTGATATGAGATAAATTGCAAAGCATTTTATAACTCACGTCATCAGGTATCAATCGCTTGAGCAAGTCGTTCAACTCGGGAACTTTGTATGTCTTCGCTGCGAACATTAGCATGCCCATTGCTAAGACAAAAACTGATCTTCTGCATGCTGGATGCAATATCCCTGACAAACGATTAAGTTAAGTAGAAGAATCTACAAGTTGTTGAACAGATAATTCTCTTAAAGCTGGGTAAGCTATGACCAAATCATATGTACCATTGTTAGAGTCCAAGGACAACTGTCTGAGGGAGAGAGCAAGCTGAAAGAATCGGACCACAACGTTTCCATTTGTGTTCTGCAAAATCACTAGGTCATATCATCAGTAACTTTCTGAATCAACCAGAGGTCTTGCATTCTTGTAACAACAGTGTTATATTAATCCAAAGTAGAAAAGCAGGACAAAACAAGAGTGGCACTGCAAAAGAGGGGAGAAAAGGGTAGCGGGACAGGAAATAATCTTCGAGAGACCTATTCCTTCTTGAGAATATTTGGGGTCCCACCTTCAATTGAGAAGAAATAAGTGTCAATGTGAAAGAATGAGCAATGGCTTCAAGATTCGGAGGCGTGTTGTCAGGAAGGCTGGCTTGCATCCAGAAGGCAGAAAGCAACTGTGAAATCTGATCCTCATTTAACGTCAAAACACATGGTTCCTGCAAAAAAGAAAGTATCTATAAGGAGCTCCTAAACTGTAACGACGATAGTTGTGGAACTTGGAAGTCACATACAGCAGCCTCAGCCGACCCCGGAGTCCCCGTAGTCCTCTCAATGATTGAGCTAATCTTGTAAATGTTTGGTGAGTTCTTTCTACCTCGTCCATACTTCCACTCTTCTTCTGAGGTGTCCCGTTCTTTGCAGTCATCATGCATTCCATTAACTTCAGGACCATCCTTCTCTTTACGGAGCTTTTCAAGTAGTGCAGAAATCGAAGCAAATGTAGATGCTGTACCGGAACGCCATCTTCTCGGTTCACAAATGTAACTAGGTCGTGCAGATGATTCTCGTCCAAAACAGTTTGAATTTGGAATAAGAAGAACTGTGAATATCTGATGTGCTTCAACCCGCACTTCAACATTTGCATGCAACATTGCTTTCAAAAGCTGAACCAGAAGTGATTCTGGGAAAGCCTGCATGGATATTTTTAGTAGGATTGCAGTGAGATTTATTTACATGCCAACTTTGTTAGATAGCCATCATGAACTATTTTGCTGAAAAATACTTGAACAACAAATGGAACCATTTATCTGAAGATCACCTGTTGGGAAACTGAAGACAATGAAACCACATGAGCAAGAATCATTAGCGATCGAATGGTTGCACGAGCAACAATTCCACAGGATGGTAGTTTCTCCAGCGACATGGCCATGTGATCAAGTAGCGGCTGGGCATCAGCAATCTACAAAAATGAAGGTCAAGTTTTAGAAGGAAACCCAATTAAAATAACACATTTTACATGGTTTAACTTACCCCCTTTGCAATTTCAAGCAAGCAATCTTCAATGGAATTCTGGAGTGAGGCATTCAGGTCCAGTTCCTGATCTCCGATTGGCTCGGCCGAGGCCTGAAGGCTCTTCCTTAAATGCCTACACAAGTCACCAACAAATCCAACTTCGGCAAGAACTTTAACTGATCTAATCTGCCGAGTTAGACCAGCCGCAACTTGTACAACATTAGATTTGAGCTGCGGATCATGGGCGACATTCTTGTGGTCTAAATGGCGAATAACAGCAGATAACACCGACTGCTGATGTCCTGGAAATGAAAAATTCCATTAGAACTTACTAATTGTTGCTAATCTCACATCAGAATGATAAATGCTATTAGCGTACCTTCACTCTCCAGAAAATATGACATGGCAGACAAAACTACCAGAGCAAGCCCCTGATGTGGGGCCCAGTGATGTGCAGAATCAAAGTAGACAAACATTGGATCTAAGACACATCGCATTGTTGAGCTCTCTTTTGCTAGATCTACCATTCTTTGAACACAAATTTGTGCCCATACTCTTGGTTGCTCAATCTCCTCCCTACAACATAAAGCTTAATGGCATAAGGAAACAACAAAAAGGGACCACAATACTCACCCTATATAATATACATGCTCACCTAGTTAGAAGAGAAGGATCTTTCTTTTCTGGTCGAGCTCTGATGACCGCTGTGGAGCTAGAATCATTACCTACAACTGCACTTCTTTCACTTCTAACAACTTCATTCACCCAATTATGATGTGCTTCACCTCTCTCAGCATCATGTTCAATACAAGAGTCAAGCTCGTAGTTATCCAAAGTGCAATGCACAATCTGCAGTTATTCTCGAGTTAACAACTGAAGACCCAATATACAACACAAGGGGGTCTACTCGAAAGCACTAACCTCATCCAAAGCAGGGAAGATATACGAGAACTCCGACATGAACCAGACCTACAAGAAAAGAAGTTAAAACGGGATAACAGCATTCTAGATAGCAAGTTAGCATCACATGTGAAACGTAAAAGAACAACGTATTATTTTTAGTTCACTTAGAAGTATACCATGGCTGAGAGACATTGGAGACCTGATGCCCTTAAGCTGTCAAGACTACCTTCTTCCCGGTGCTTATGTGCCAGTTTACAGATTCTGGGAGCATATTTTTCAATGTTATGTGCATAAGTTCCATCCACCTGTTCAGCATTAATCATCAAATCAATCCACCTGACCACATCATCTACAACATTTTGTTCAATCGAACTGCCAGAGGTAGTATGAAGTCAGAATAGAGAACACTACCTGACTGTAGATAAAATTGGTTAAGGTCTGGCATCCAAGAATCAGCAAAGCATATTGATTAGGTCTGTCTAGCAGCTCATTGACCACATTCAACAAACTGACAGCAAAATATGCCCTGGAAGATATAGAGACCAGCATTAAAGCTATAAACGGAATTCTACCAGCAAAAAAGTATATTTAGACATGAAACATAAATAGGACGAAAAAGCATGCTTTGCTTACATCTGCTCCTTACAAAGGCAAAGCAACTTATTGTAAGCCTCCATGACAACATTGATAAACTTTGCATGACCACTCCGCAGTTCTTTGCAACATCTTTCTTCGAGATACTTGGCAATCTATTAAAACATGATGGGCACAGATGAGACATGGGTAGGGTTCTGCAGTAAACATCTTTGAGTGTGAACCGAAATGCAACCTTGGGGATTCGAATTGGATTTTTGGCCGCATATTCACACAACTTTGCAATTTTTCTCTCATTTGGGGGTGCATCCTGCAGAAAATAAAGAGATCACAACATAAGTAAGAAATCCGAAAGATTTTAGTTTGATCTGGTCACCCAACCTGAGCAAATGACATCTAAACAATACTTAGTGTTTCTCTTTCACCCAAATGCACCATGAAAGACGAATCACACACAAAACATGCAAGTTATTTAAGAATCACAGACCATATTATGGAAACTAAACCAACAAAAAGATTTCTGTCATTACACTCATCATTCATAATAGGATAAAAAAGAAAAGTCTTCCATCGAATCACTCCTTCAATATTTGTGCATGGCTCATCTTAAGTGTCTGTGCAGAAGCTTCATACATAGACAAAATAACTCATTGTTCAAACTCCTAAAAAACCTTGGCAGCAGTCAATCTGACAGCTTCCTCTAAATGCTAACTAGGCAAGATACTAACTATCAGCACCAGCTTAAGAGATCAAAAAGGGAAGTAAAACTAGAGATACAAATTGTTGAGAGCCACTCACTGGAGACTTGGGGAAGATATCAGCAAGCAATTTCTTATATCTTTTCACAGGTTGCCGAGATCTGGACCTCAAAGCAGGGCAACACACGCACATCGTCCCACAAGAGGGGACTATCTTCCGGGAAATGAAACCCATTGTCTGCACCTTGTGAAAGAGCAAGGAAAAAAAATTATAAACCAGGCCAAGTTTCTTACATTTTCGAGATGAAAAACTCCAAATGAACTAAAACAACCACCACCGCCAAGCCAAGCGAATCCAGTCTTCACCCAGAAAGAATCAAAGCTAGAAATTCTGAAATTGAACCCTCGACGCGACAGCAAAAACAGTGGAAAAAACCGAAAGTGGAAGAAAAAAACGATCATCACAAGCCCATCACTGAATCGCATCAAAAGCTGCTCCCAATGCACAAGAGAAAGAGTGAGTTAAGCAGCCTACATGAACATAGAGAAGGAAGCAGAAAGAAAATAACGGAAGGACAATGACAGCTAACATAGCAACGAACACCAGCAAAATGAAACGTATGTGATTATGTGCAATGCAGAGAAACCGATGGAAACTAGAACAAAAAATTATCTCCTTTTCAAAATACCCCCAAATCCCTACCGGCAGCTGACAAAGGCAACGACTTTACAACTCAAATCACAAACCCAATAGAGCAAAACCCGATCAAACGTAAGTGAAAGCAGGAAAAATTAATGGGTTACTATACCTATGGGCATATATTGCCTCCGCCACAAGGCAAAACGGAGATCGGTGACGGGGAATGGAAAGAAGCGTTGGAAGTAGGGAAGAGCTCCAGAGAATGCACAGAGACACAGTGAAGAAGCTCAGTGAATAACAATTGACAGAAGAAGAATGGGGGCAATGGCGCGTGGTTTCAGTCGATCGTTAGAGAGGGGGAAATTTGGGAATTGGGGAGAGGACTGACGGAGAGAAGGAAGGAAAGGGATCACGTGATTGATGTCAGGTTTTAGAGAGTGGCATAGATTGTGGGGTAAAGGGAGTTCTGTGTTGTCAGAGGTTGGAAGACTCGCTGTAGAAAAATTCTTCAAAATTGTGAGAGCAAGAGCATCGAGAACTTCAATGGGAGGGAGACTCCGGTAGAAGGAACTGGGAAGAGAGGTGAGCAAACCAGTCGGTTTGGCTCGGGTCAATAGAATGATGGGTGGGTTGGTTTATTACGATTTGTAAGGACATGCAAACTGACGGGAGGTACGAGTATCTCAATATTTCATGCCCCGCTAATACTCACGTGATTAAGGGACATGACGGTTCAACCCATTCCTATTATGTTATTTGAAAAAATACGCACAATATTTTTAATTTTTACAATAAAACAAAAGGAAAGACGCTCTATGAATAAAAAATAATGATAATACAATTTGTAAATGAGTCTAACCAGTTTAAACATTAGGTCTAACTCGTTGAAGAAAAATCAAAATAGGATAAATATAAATAAATACTGTAAAAAATTTAGATGGAATAGTAAAAAAACGAGACGAGACGAGACAGGTAGGAAGTAGATACTCATGCGGCATGCCCCCATCCCACATTAGTGCGGGTTGAATAATACCTGCCACATTACGGGTCAGCCGATCAGGTCGATAATAGCAGACCGGCGGTTCAAATGATTCCTAGACAGGTAAGTATCACATTATGAATAGAACAAAATGAGCAAGGTTTTCTTTCAATTGTAGTAAATCCATTGTATTGGTTGAACTTCGCAGAAAATAAATTTCCTCCCCAATTAATATAATCAATGTATACAAATTTCCGAAGTAATAAGTAGATTTCTGTCCCATTCAAATTGGAAGTAAAGATATGGTTGTTGATCTCTTTGAAATTTGGAAGCATAAGACTATTGGGTTGATTAAGATTTTATTGCTTAATACGAATTTGTACACACACAAAATTGCATCCACAAAGCAAGATATCATCAGCTCTAGCTTGTACACGATGGATTATTTACCAAGTTGAACTTGAATAACACTGCACTATGATTTGATTATGTATAATCATCATTGTTAATGGTTACAATATTAAATAACGTTTTTTACAATAAATTATTTAATAATTTGAGTACTATCAATCCTAGTGTATCTGAAAAGGAAAGATACTTGCTTTTTCTTCAGCTTCGGCCGCCACCATTCCCCAGTTCTCACTCGAGGACGCCATTGACAAGAGAGCAAGCAATCATAATTCACATAACCAAAAACGTTCATTAGTTTGAATTTTTTAAATTTGAGTGTGCCTCTCACTCTACACTCAGTCTACTACAACAACAAGCAGGCCCATAGCAATCACCTTTTCTTCCTACCTTTGGTTTGAAAATCTCCCAACCAAAGTATCAAAATTGATTTAAAAGTTTGTGATTTTACATTTTTAGGTCACTATAACGTTTCCACGTAGAATCGCACTTTTTACGTACAATTGTAGTAAAAATATAGGGTTAATATCTTATTTTGGCCTGAACTATGACCATATAATCAATTTTTGCACGTGGTTTCAGAAATAAACATCATGGTTTCAACTATGTAACATATAGACTCAATTAGCCCGTCACAGAGTTTGACCGTCAATTTGGATGGTCAACACCATTGACCGTTAGTCAACACGCCATGTCATTACCTTGTCAGCCTAAAAATCATTAAAAATTCAAATTTTTATTATTTTTCTAATTTTTATTATTTATTATCAAATTAACCAAAAATAAATTATAAAAAACATAAATAAATTTAATTTTTGGGTAATTTGGAAATGATAAATTTTATAAATTAACCAAAATTATCAAATTATTTTATATTTTAAAAATTATCCAAAAAATAAAATATATAATTTATATCATATTTTTTAAATTTATAAAATTTAATTTGATAATTTTGGTTAATTTATAAAATTTATCAATTTCAAATATCCCAAAAAATAAAATATCAATTTTATTATATATTTTAAATTTTATTTTTTGGTTAATTTGAAAATGATAAATACTAGAAATTAGGAAAATAATTTGAATTTAAATTTTTTAATGAGTTTTAGGCTGACAAGGCAATGACATGGCGTGTTGACCGTCCAAATTGACGGTCAAACCATGTGTCAGGCCAATTGAGTCTATATGTTGTATAGTTGAGGCCAGAATGTTAATTTCTGAAACCACGTGCCAAAGTTGATTATATGATCATAATTCGGGCCAAAATAAGGTATTAACCCCAATGACTAATCCTATGATTCTAGATGTGGGTTAGTAAGTATTCTTCAGGTTTATTTTGCTCTTGGGGACATCACATTTACAGGAGGCTATGAATCCATAACATTGTTTTTGCAGAAGGTGCTGGCCATTCTGTCAATGAATGGTTGTTCAAGGTTCTTAAATTCGAAGTTAAAAGAATGCCGTTGGTATAGTTGGTTAATAAACTTGAGGAGATCATCAACGTAAACATGTTGGATTAGGATTTAGAAGAGGTGTTGTTTGGTTTGGTGATAATTAAGGGTTTCATCAACTACATAACTTTCTCCATAGTTCAAGTGTTCAACAGATGTTGTCTCCGAAACAATTCTGTTAGAATTACTCCCAAGTCACGTTGCATTAGTTATTTCATAAATTTTTATCTGTCTACTTGTAGAATTGGAGGTTGTCATCGTTCCAAATGACATTTTTCTTGTTGTTGCAAAAAGAAAATTTTCTCATTTTTTCATTCTTAAAGTGAAATTACAACGTTACGGAGAAAAATTATTGAAATCTCTTCGTAAAAGATTCTCAACCAAATTATATTGGTTTGATTCTGATATACATCTCAACCGCTCAAGTTATCACATAGCATAATTAGTTTCGTATGACTTATCGAGATAAATTTGGTGGTTATATATAGATTCAATCATAATTCTAATCAATAATCATGTTGGTTATTAATTAATTAGAGTGGGTAGTCAGCATGATCGAGTTTGATACTTAGCCGAACAACAAGTCAAACAACAACCCATACCATCCACATAGTCCCCATCTCACCACCCAAGACCGTCACATAATTAAACAACTTCTTAATCTCTTAGATCGAATTAAATTACACGGTTGATCATTGTCGTTCGTTATACCAAATACCATTCATAAAGTTGACAACTTTCATCAAAACCCATCATTATTCTTCCAATAAACTCTCTAAAACAAAGAGTTTATCCCACCAAACTTCTAATACTTTTCAGGCTTTTTTACACACCAAGTAATGGTTGTCAAGTAATGCTCACAATTGGCGATGGCCATTTGACCCTTTTCATTTTCAAGCATATTTTCAGAACCTTCATCGTCATGATTAGTGATATATAAACCTATTGACACGGATAATTCTTGCAAAATGCAATACTTCACCATGAACGTTTAGCCTTGTTTGGAACTTTCGATTCTAAACATTGTATTATGAGTATACATATATTCTGCAGAATACAACGTTTTTGACTTGTATTCAGAATGCATGATACATTCATAATACATAGAAAATGATGTATACTTAGGGCATGTTTGGAAGTTAGGATTCTCTAAATTGATGTAATTAGATGCCTTGTTTTGGACGAGACCGGCTCACACACTTCACGCGAATTAGTAGAGCTAACTCACACACAATACACATTCTTTCACCGATCCACCTCATTGTTGTTATTCATATCCGCGAAAAATTCTTGTGACTTAACCTATCATCGAAATATCCTTTTAAATTAGAGGGTGGAAAGTGGTGGGTGTGGACCAGACCGGCTCAACCAAAAATGGTGTTCATTTAAGAGAATTGGTCCAGAGCTTGGAAAGAGTCGTCCTCTGTACTGTACATCTCTTTCACTCTGTTAATTCTCTTCCACAATTTCCCCAAAGATGGACTGGCCAGCCATGCAAATTATAATGCCCCAGTTGATGAGTGTAGTAGTCATTTTCATTGGTACCATTTCACATCAGTAGAGAACTGGAAACAGCTCGATTTTTTCTTGCAATGGAGAGACCATCTACACCAATTCCATGTGGGGGATCTATTATCTATATATAGGATTGACAACAGCTCTTTGATTATGGAATACTATAAACCACAACTGCCAGCAAAGTAACTCCAATTAAATGGGATCTCAATGGTCATCGAGGAATCGATCGTCGAAATGTGACAATTGACGCACTTGTCTGACATTTGAAGTACTAAACAAAGACAGTTGCGTTGTTCATCATCGTCACTTAAACGACTTACTCAACATGAATAATTCAAGACAACCCGCTCAACGATGCAAGCGGGTCGAGTGATTTGGGTTTATCCCGTTCTAATCAACTACCTATATTACTCGGTTTAGAAGGTATTGAACCCAAATCCGGACCCTATCGGTTTTGTGGATAGAGTCAATTCGGGTAGAGTAGAGAGTTCATCGGGTGAGAAACCATACAGCCACAATATACTTCTTTAATTTTTCCAAAATAGAACATAATTCTCTGTGTCTGTTTATTTTATCTTTGTTTTTGCAGTATAAATTCCAACATAAGTACACAGTAATCATCCACAATATTTATGTCACTGATCATATATTGTTAATTGGATAGCTTTCGTTTCTCTTCCAGTTAACTATGGATGAGCATAAAAGGAGAAATTTTTGGTGAAAAGGTTATGAAAAGCTTCAGTTTCTTCTGATGAAATTACCACTTTACTGCAATTAAGGCAGTGAAGAAAACCAGAATTCTTGTTTGGGACACAGAATATGGAACCTTCCACATAAATATAGCATACAAAAATCAAGCATTGAGGAGGAACAAAAAGCAACCATGGTAGCGTACTAGCGTGGAAGAAGAACAAAGGAATTTTTACCTTGATGGACACCCGCTCGAGCTATTCTACATTTTGCTTGGACAAGTTCAGGTTTAATACAGCACACAGATCAAGAAGAGGCTGCTGGCTCAGGCTCAGATGCCTCTGCTGCTGCTGCTGCAGCTCTTTTCTTTGCAAAGTATTCATCAGCTCTAGCAAGGTTCTTTAGAACTGCTGGCTTCAGCCACTTCTTCCTGCCAGGTAACACGGTGAGCGAGCAGCCAACAGATTCCAGCTTCTCCCTCGCTGATGTTGAAAATGCACGAGCTTTGAAGTTCAGCTTCACGTCTAGCTCCCCATCACCTAGGATCTAAATCTCATAAATTGAGAAGTGAGTGATAAACCAACAACCAAAGCATCTTAGAAACGATTGATCTAATAGCATAAAAATGGAGCTACATGAAGAGACATGCAGTTAATATTCAAACAAAACAAGACATTATGCTTGAAAGCTTTGGAACGACTATTACAACCACAATAGAAGTTGCGGAGCAGAAGTGCAGTGCTCTGAGAGTGGTCTAGCAGGTTCTTTATACCAATCTCTGATAGTGTAGAAGAATTGAAGCTACAAAAATGACACCTACTTAGCCACCCACCAGAAGCGACTTCTAGTAGCATATGAGATCAAAGATGCACAACAGCCAAGTCAATCTACATACACCATCATAGGAGTCTCAATCCAACACTAACTAACACTTGATGCATGTTCGCAGCTAGTATGATGCATAACTAATGCATGATAGTGAGCCTATGATGTAACCTGCAGCACTATAATAACAAAGTTTTTATTTTTTACAACGGTGAGAATCTATAATAACAAAGTTGAAGCCAAGCTCATCTCACTACAACACTTGTCAGGTTTATGACTGACGCTGACCAAATTACAAGTTCCTAAAATCATCGTTAAATATAGTTCAAGCATCATGTGAAATAATTCGCTCTAAGCTTTTAATATCATCGTTACTGCATGATTTCAGTTCAATGAATTTATCAGAGCTTGCAGATACCAGACTTTTGTCATGTGAGTCACTTTAGCTAGTAGGGACAATAGACTCTATGCAAGCTATAAGCGGCCCATATGAACAAGCAGAACCAATGAAACTAGTATCAGTGACAGTTGTAAGCATGAATGTATCACTCAAAAGGTCATACCTTCAGAGGAAGTCTCCTTTCTCTTCCCGATGGGTTGATTAAGCCCTTCTCCTTCAAACTCTCCAGTGAAACCTCCTCGCCCTCTTGAAAACCTGCTTCTGCTATGTCCTTTAAGTTGACCGGGACATATTTAGGTAAACCAGCATGCATACCTTTCCCAAAACAAAAGAAAAGCGAGTCATGACAATTTATGAAGTCCTGTAGTGGAAGCCCAAAATGCAGAAAACCAAAACAAAACAACATTGACAAACTAGTCCTAGAGACAACACGAAGCAGCTAGTAATTGGCAAAACAGCAACGCACGAAAGAGTTCTATTCCGCCAACTGCAACCGACCAGTCAGTCACCCACGAGTCGAGATCTCATCAAGCTTCTTACCCATTCGTAATCTAAGTTGTCAAGCTACTGGAACATTAAGCATTATGAACCGAAGGTCATATCACCTCATATGAGATTGAATGGTGAAAAGGCTCAGAGCTCTAATCCTTTCATTTCAGCCATCTCAATTTCAATAATGTTCTCCAACAGCGCAATTGAATTATCAGCATAAATGCCCTAAAAACCCTAGCTAATGGCATCAATTATTCGACTGAAAATCAAGGAATCCTCAAGTATTATTACCTCCAGCAATTCCCCGCAATTTAGGGATACGGCGATAGAGAGGCATCTGCCCACCTTCGAATCCTCTCATCACACCAGGACCCGACCGGGATTTCTGTCCCCTCATTCCAAACCCACAGCTGTTACCTTGCCCGGCGGCTATACCTCTTCCCTTTCTCTTGGCTTTCTTCCTCGAACCTGGCTGCGGCGCCAAATTGTCCAGCCTGAACCGCTCGCCAGCCACCGGAACCGCGGCCGGAGCCGAGGGCCTTTTGTTGACCACCACGAGTGGTCTCGCCTGAGGCCTGCTCGTCGAATGGGTCTTGATGAGCGGGTTGAAATTGCATGATTTTGCTCGCAGACTCGTCACATTTCCCTGGAGAAGCAACAAAATCAGCGAATTTTTTTCAATTGCGATGGTAACTGAGAGAGGAGAAAGGAAAAGCCTGTTTATGGAGGAAAAAGACAAGTAATTGGCGTACCTTGAACGGGGAAGAAGGGCCGGAAATGGTTAGTGATGTTCTGATTGGAGTGATGGATACAAGAGCCGCCATTGATGAGGAAGGAGATAGAGGAGCTGCCTCTGCGCGCTAAAGTGTGCTCAGCTGAAAAGTTTAGCTTCCAACGGATATGGATAGGCTGGGAAATATATTATGCATTAATTTACGGAATCGCGGGTAATTATCATAAATGGTCACAAATCTATTCACTTTGTACAAAATAATAACAAACTTTTAATTTTGCACGTTTCAGTAAAACAAGTTTAAGGGGTTGTTTGCTTGAGGGTTTTGGTCATGAATTTGGTCATGGAAATATATTCATCATGGACTTGAACCGAAATCCATCGTTTGCCTTAGGGAATTAGTGAGATGGAATTTGTGGGGCCCACCTCTTTTGGGGTTCCAAATCCGTGGACCCCACGGACTTGAAAGTTCCACCTCTTGAGGTGGGATTTGGGTGATGAATTAAAATCCATGATGGTAAATTACCTTTCTACCCTTAATTATTTCTTTAATTACAAATTTCTCCTACTTCAATTCAATGGTCATGCAACTGTAAACTTTTATAATTTCGTATTTTATAAATATGAGAATTTATCATTTCATTTTGTAATATCGTATTTTATTTAAATATGAATGTATATGTGATTTGTTAGATTCACCTAGAAACATTTTATGCTCATCTTGTACATTATTATTTGATTGATTATCGGATTCCACATCGGTGAGTTAGCAAGAAGATGATAAGTTGTAGCAAGCGAGCAACTAGCTGCAATTGATATATAATATTGCGTACATTATTAGATGAATTGTTAATTAGTGCCAAATTGTAATACATTTCTATATTTGTAGTTGAATTATTAATCCACATAGTGGTAAAGAGTTTAAAATTTCTTTCTATGTTTTGGATTAGTTTTAAATGAAAGATTTGGATTAGAATATAGAAATATAATTAAATAAGGGTAACTAGGTAATTTGTATTTAATATCCACAAATCTAATCAAACAAAGTCCATAATCAAATTCATCAAGCAAACAATGGACTTGTTCAATCCATAATGCCACCAAATCCATCATATATCCATGGTTTTCCAAAACCCAGGTTTTACCAAAACCCTCATTTTTCTAATCCATGAAGCAAATGACCCGTAAGTGAATAACAAAAAGATCATTCCGTCCACTTCCGTCATAAATTCTGTTATTTTTGCCCAATCAGCATGACACATCACTAAAATTATTAATAAAAACTAATTTAATCATTCTAATTAACCAGAACAACCATAACCGGTTCACTAACTCTGTTCTCAACCAACCGTACGCTAACCTGGCCAAGAGAAACCTTATCCCTCACACTTGCCTTTCTTTCCTCTCATATTGAACTCTCAAAGTTGAGCACGCCGTCGAGATTTGTGTTGGGTTTTTTAGTGATGTGAATGGAAATGAAAGGGGAAAGTTTCAAAAGAGTCTCTTGAAGTACCATGTTGGTAACCTGTGGAAAGGCGTGGCCTTGAATTCGATCGATTTGATATAATATGTGGTTAATCGGTTAAATTGGTTTGTGTACCAAACGGACCAAACCAAACCGAGTTGAACCAAATCGAACCGAACCGAAATGGCGATTGGAATAACAAAACCGGTCCAACTACCATAGGCCAAACCGATGCAATGGTTCATTATTTTAAAACGAACCAATGTGTTGGTTGGGGTGTAACCACCCATACGAAGAGTTGCCTCCCTTCGTACTAGGGATGGCAACGGGTCGGGTTGGGTCGGGTTTTGCCAAACCCAAATTATCCACATATAAAACACCATTCTAGAAAATTCAAGCAAATCACAAATTAACTATACAGCCAAACCCAAATTATCCATATATAAAACAACATTCTAGAAAATTCAAGCAAATCACAAATTAACTATACAAATTGTTCGACACCAATCTAGAAAACTCAAGAAAATTGAAGCAAATCACAAATTATCCATAAATAACATGATTAATTGAAAAATTATTCCTTTCAATTAAGTTTCTTCACTCTCCACTCGATAACATCAACTTCATTCTACACAATTCGAAAGAAAAAATTAGATATGTCTCCACAAACATAAAAAGATTAGTTGTTTAGAATATTAACTATACCGAGAAAATTAATTATATGGGTGTGGGCGGGTACCCATGGGCCGGGTTTACCTAAACCCAAACCCAACCCGATGAATAGTGAACGGGTTTAAACCCAAACCCGGGCCAAAATCCGTCAACACAGATTTTACCCGCTTTGACCGAGTTGGGTCGGGTGGGTACCCGTGGGTTCGGGTTTTGTTGCCATCCCTACTTCGTACGCACCCCTTCATTCTCTATAAATAGCACCTAACCCCCCTAGTTTTACATGGGATTTTTCCGGTACCAAAATTCTGCCAAAATCCAAAACTAGTTTTCTGCATTCTTTTCAAAGAGAAAATCGAGTCAAGTGTGGTTCTCGCCGGTTCGCTGAGTTCGATGGGTTTCGGGGTTTGAGGTACCGCTACGCCGAAAAAGGTATGTCCTTTCTATCCTGGGAGGAATCATTCCATAACCCTGGGTACTAGAGGGGAATAAGATTCTTTAAGGAGAGATAGTGAATTCTATCGGCTAGGACGCTTGCATGTGTCTTTCCATGTTTTCTTAATGGGTTAAAGACACATTTTGTCACTGAGATTACTAAATTGGGACATGTTTAGTCACTATAAAAAGTTAATATCAAATTTGGTCACTACAATTATTAAAACATGACACATTTAGTCACTCGCCGCTAGTTGTCGTCCAACTCCGCTAAAAGAGTCTGTTATGTGCTGACGTGGCTAACGTGAGCGCCTAGTAAGCGCCATTTTGGACCAAAATTAGTCAAACCCGACCCGTCACGTCACTAAACCCGCCACGTATTAAACCCAACCCAATTCATTAACCCAACCCGGCCTAGAAATAAACCCTAACCCACCTAACCATATCCTCTATCTTCTTTATATGACTTTCTGTCCACAAGAAGTCTTTCAATCTTTCATTCACGCCTCACATTTCTTTGTTTCTTTCTCATTCCGCAGTGTCCACATATCCATTCTCTACTGATGGCATGACACTTATCCAGCAGTTTTGAAGACTAGCTGGACTTATGGCAAGTACGGGGTAAGTTTCCCTCACTTTCAATTCATCTGTACTTTCACCACTAGACTGTCCTTTTCTTTCACCCTTCTTTCTTTTCTGTGCTATTTGTAGACAAATGGGGCATGTAATTGTTTCAGATGGCATGACCCAGAACTTGACGAGCATATGAAATTTCTGGTGTTGAACTTTCATCGTCGATTTGGGAGCAAGAGAATAGGCAAAATGGGAAAGGGGCCAAATCTAATGGCAAAACATTGTCCATCTTCTTTGTGTTTGCTCTTGTATTCTTTTGCATTTGGATCGAAAAGTAAGCAGCTCTTTGCTTAATCTTACCAGATGTACTCGAAGGTTCTCTGTATTGTAGACTGTGTAACCCTAAAAAATGATATTTTACTTTTGGTGCCTGAAATTGCAATGTAGATGCATGTTTCATCACTTGAAAAGCTAAGAAAACAACACTTCGTCACTTTTATAGCAATTCATGGCTAATGTCAGTCACTCGGAAAGCAATTATTAGTCACATTTGGTCACTCGAAAACATTTCAGGGCTACATGTTGTCACTCGAAAAACCAATCAGGGCCATATTTGGTCCCTCAAAAAACAATGCATGGTCACATTTGACCACTGGAAAACAGTTGTAGGGTCACATTTGGTCACTAGAAAAGGCAACTCAGGACCACATTTGGTCACTGGCAGTGTTCTGTATTTTTCACAACTTGGACAATTGATTACATACGATAGTCAGTGATAAATAGAGCCTTAAAGGCTTCATAGTCGAAAAGAGCCATGTACCATGCATGACCTAACAACCACTATGATAGTTAAACGACAAGTCAAGTTCTAAATTTGGAATATAACAAGTCTGCAATGGCTTGCAATACCCATTAAAGGCTACAATGTTCAAAAGAGCCATTCACCATGACCTAACCTAACCCTACTGTAGATAAATTTAGTCTTCACGGCTTTTCTGATTGTGTCACCTGACTTGCAATCTGTGATAGTTGGGAGGCTTGACTTGGAACCTCACAGTTTGGCCTCCATGTACTTCCCTGCAAATAAAGATGGTGTTAGTATGTTGGATGGAATGGACTAAGATAAAAGGAACATCCACTAGACTGAAATCATACATCTGTCATGAGTTGGACTACATGGGCCTGACTACTCGATGAAGAAGCAGCAGCTTTTGTAGCTCTTTGTTGTAGCTTCTGTAATGCTGCAACTCTGTTTCTCTCAGCTCGTTCAAGTTGTTGCCTCCTCTTTGCTTCTTCCTTCTCTTTCTTCTTCTCTTGTACCTTAATTTTTTTTGCTTCACCGTGGAAGGTTTTGTTGTGCCCTAGTAGACAACATTTCATACACTTGTACTGCTTTCTTTCAGGTTTTGCTTTGTCCCCTCCATCCTTCTTTTGTTTCTTCTTGGCTGTTTCAGCCTCCTCGATCCCCTTTCTTCTTTGTTTCTTTGGCCTCCCTCTCTTTTTCGATTCTCAAGGAGGAGGAACACCAACATCTCCCAACTCGGAGACTGGCCAATAGTCCCTACTAGCAGTAGGCGAAATGGAGTAGCTATAAATCGCTACAGCAGTCTCCTTGGTGTAGCAACCAACAACATAGTCTTACACTTGCAGGTTTTCCGTATGAATGGCTTGAATAGCATGCTGGCAAGGAATACCAGTCAGGTCCCATTTTCTGCAAGTGCAAGTCTGATCTTTCAAACTCACAACCACCTGCTTGTCGTGCCACCTTACTTCAAACTGTCGTCTCCCATTAGACACAACAACCCACTTCACGGCCTCTCCAGTCAACATCGACAGCTTTGTCTCAATATTTGGACAATAAGGACCAGCCCACTTCTCCGCATCCTCTGTTGTCGGGCGTATAAAACCATCAAATTCCTCCGGATCCCCTCCCACATGCTGATTGGACCCAAATCTCTCTCTTCTAGTATCGTGTTATTCCAAATCTCAACAATATTGCTGGTGTGTATCTAGGAATTGTGTAAGTATGATAATGTGAACTGGTCCAATG